TCATGTCGCCAGTCGAGGGCGGAGACCTGAAGAACTCTGTCCAGCTGGTCCGCGACGGGGGAGTTGACGCACAGGCGGTCGAGCTTCGCACGTGACGTAGCGGATGCGTGTTTATTGTGCTTGAAACATTTCGTACAAGCCCTCCTTCCCCCCAATCTCGGCCTGGAAGTGCTTCTCCTCAACGCCGTCTCGCCATCCGCTGTAGGCGCCCGAAGTGACGGAGACCCGGTCGTTCGCGCCTGCCACGTAGTTGAAGTCCCCGCCCAAGATCGTTAGGACGTCGAGCCGCGGAGCCAAAGCACCGCCGATACGTCGCCGTAGAAGGTGTCGTAAGTCCCCATGGGAGACGATGCCTGCCTTGAGACTTTCGGGAACCCCGGCCAGATCATGTCCTGCAGGGTGAGCGCGTGCACCAGTATGAAAGTATGCAACAATCAAGTCCAAATCACCAGAGGCTCCCCGAAGGGAGAGTTTGAGGGGCGCGGCCCCGCCAGATGTGCGTCCAGCGCGGAACGCCGTGGAATTGCTGTAGGAGCGTGTCGCGGATGACGATGCCAACGCCTGTGATCCCTGGAGCGGGGCCCTGAGACCAAAACGCCGTGGTGCCGCTGGGAGGGCGCCAAGTATTGTTAGCCACCTCGGTGCCATGCACCTCCGTGAGCATCAGCACGTCGGCTTTGTCCATCAATGTGGAGACGTACCTCGTCTTGACCCCATGCCTCAGCGGGTCCACGCAGAATAAAGCCTGGGCGTTCCAAGTGATTACCGAAATGTCTCCTCAAAATTGTCCTCGTCGCGTCTCCTCGGCGCGTCGGAGCGCGCGAGGAGGCAGAGGAACGGAAGGAGGGAGCCCATGGTCACCAGGTAAGCGGCCAAGAGCACGTAAGAACCTCTGCCGCCGGTAAAGCGCCACAGGAACGTCGATGTCCATCTCCCGGACGTGGCCCGGGCCGGCCTCGATGTAAGGGATGGAATCGTGTTCCTCGAGAGTGAGCGGTGGAAGAGCTGGTCGTAAACGATCGGAATGGACAGCAGGAAGAGGAGGAAGATAATCATGATAATGCGGTCGCCGAGATGCCGAGGAAGTGGACGCAGGAGAAGGAGAAGAGGGACCCGCTCCATCAGGCACCCGGCGGTCCAGCAGCGACGACACCGCAGTGTGGAAGCTGAAGACGACCAAGCACGAGTAAGAAGAAAATCCCTCCAAATCGATGCAATGAATACCGGCGAATTCCAAAGGAACGTGCAATAAACGCCTCTCGGGGCCCTGGTAGCGGTCGGCGCTCAAGTCCGCGTCCCCGAAGAGCCCCCCGAAATACGAAGCGCCACCAAGTCGTTGAGAACCTCAATGCCGACCATGTCCATGCCGACCTGGATGGCCTGTCCGTGAAGAGCAGCATGCAACTGGGAGACGTCCTCCGGCGACTGGGTGATCACCTTGATGATGCCGGATGGCGTGCGAGGATCCTTGCGATACTCGTGCACGTACTGTCCAGCCTTGATGTTCAGGGGGTCCTCGGCCTTCGTGATGTGCATGCCCGTGCTCTGGCACACATGAGTCATGAGCTTGTCAATTACTTCGTCGTCCTGTCTCCCGACGTCGCCGTTGATGAGAATCTCGGCGACCCTGTCGTTGAAGGACGTGGTCGTCCGGCCACGCCGGCGATGCGCAGAAAGCCGCGTAGATGTCGCAGCTGGCGTGGCCAGCACCCTCCCGCCATGTCTGGATGGTTTGCATTTGAGGCGCACTGCCGCGTTCGAAGGGTCACGGCGGGATACATCATCCATCACCCCTGTCCAGGTCTCCGCGGAGGCTTCAGTGAGCACCAATATCCGGGCGGCTCCAATCGGAAGCGCCTGACTGCAGAGAGGCCAAAACTTACCCAGCGAGTTCTCGCCGCAGAGCTCCAGCAGCAGTGCGTCGGACATGCTTGTGAGATGTTTGAAACCAAAGTACGTGGAGATTGGAAGATGGTGTCGACGTAGGTGGAGCAGGAGGGCATTCTGCGCCACCTCCGTTAAGCCATCGGGTAAGATGACGTCAATGCTGATTCGCGGGGCCCCCTTCGTGCTGAGAAGGCTGCGCCGGTGCGTCTTGAATACGGCGCCCTGCAGCCATGCCCTCCGGGCCAGCCTCAGGAAGTCGGTCAAGTCCTCAAGGCGCATGTCGAACGTGACGGGCTCCACGGCGTCCACCACCAACATGGCATTCTTGGTGATCATTCTCGGGATGGCCCTAGGGCCGTCGTGTTTCAGCGCAAACAGTGCCAAGCCTGTGGTGCTGTGTCTGGGGACGCCGTGCGTGTTCGTGGTGACGTACTCCATGGGGTGTGCGATGAAGGCCACGTCCCTGACCACAGGGGCCCACCTCTCTGACAGCAACGGCGAAGACCAGATGTCGGTTATGTTGGTAACAGAGTGCATGCCAGAGATGATGGGGATGGGGGCGATCATGATGAGAGTCGCAGGCCGCTGATCGGCCTCCGCCAACTTGAGGAACGAGCTGAGGCACCGGGTCAATGCGTTGTTGTGCGCCCCGAGCCAGCCAGCAAGAGTCTGACCTGAATCGAACTAGCGTGAGCCAACAGCCCTGCTCCAGTGGGCGCAACGACGACTATGCGCGCCTCGAGTCAGCCAAGGCGCGCCATCTAGCGAGAACCCCTCAAAACGTCTCTTTGAAACGCCAGCGTTAAGTTCCGCATGAGACTGCGGCCGGCCCCCTTGCCCTAGGCGGCACCTCGTGCTGCTGGCGGGTTTCCGGCTTGGCCCACCCCCACCCCGCCAGGGCCTCCCTCGCACGCCTTCGCGGGCCCTCGTGGCTGGGCCCCTGTCAGGACTCCGCAGGCCCCAGTCCCATCATCATCATCATCATCATCATCATCATCATCATCATCATCATCATCATCAGCATCAGCATCAGCATCAGCATCAGCATCATCAGCAGCATCATCATCATCATCATCATCATCATCATCATCATCATCATCATCATCGTCATCGTCATCATCATCATCATCATCATCATCATCATCACCATCACCATCATCATCATCAAGATCATCATCGTCATCATCATCAGCATCATCATCACCAGCAGCAGCATCACCATCATCATCATCATTAGCAGCATCGTCATCAGCAACACCCTCATCATCAGCAGCAGCAGCTCATCATCGTCGTCATCACTTCCTCATCATCATCGTTATCACCAAGTCATCATCATCGTCGCTATCAGCATCATCACCATCATCATCACCACCATCACCATCACCATCACCATCACCATCACCATCACCATCACCATCACCATCACCATCATCATCATCATCATCATCATCATCATCATCATCATCGGCATCGTCATCGTCATCGGCATCGGCATCATCATCATCATCATCATCATCATCACCATCACCACCAGCACCATCATAGCACCATCATCATCAGCAGCAGCATCACCATCATCACCGAGACAATCAGCACGTGCACGACACGACACGGATTCGCGTAAGCGAAAGCCCCTCAACCCAAATTATTCCTACTAAAATGCGCTCCCATTTACGACCAAGACTCCTGGCACATGCACGTGCGAAGCATCCGTGTTTCCAAAAACTACTAGGCCCTGTTGCCACTTGAAATGTGGTTGGCTTGACAAGCGGTGGCAAACTCACCAATGACGCAAGGCGTACCAATAGGTGCTTATCGACATGCTACCAGTTCGATGCGTTCGTACAGTACATGGCCAAAACTACAAGTCATGCCAGACCAGTTGTGTAAAGCTGATACACCAAACGAATCGTGAAGACACATCGGACGCTCTACCTGCGTCTGGAATATTGGTGTGTCGTACAACTGTCTTTGTTTCGGGGCACAGACTGCTCAGAAGTAGCGCTACACATATGACAGGTACAGTCTTCGGCCAATGCAAGCAATACTGAGCACGCAAGCGAACACCGCGAAGCGCAGTCCCCCGTGGCCGAGGCCCAGGAGACAGAATCTGCAGCTCGTTTCCTGAGGGGCGCCAGGGGAGGTCCCACACCCTCACTGAAGAGGCCCAGACGCACCCTCGCGGCGACGTGCCCCTGGCGAGATGTCAGTGGCCACGGCTGGAGGGGCCCAGACGTGCCCCAAAGGCGAGGCGCCCCCCCCAGTGGAATGTCGCAGTAGCCACGGGTCCAGCCCACAGCATGCCCCACCTGGCCCCGACCTCTGGCGGGGGTTGAAGAAAGGTGCACCTTTCGCGCACCTTCGAGGCCCCAGGGGGCCGCTTCGAGGGCTCCTTTGGGGCCACTTTTCCTGCAGCCCACGATCCCCCATTATGGCATGGAAGCAGGCGTGGCGGTGTTGCAAGGACCCGTCCCCCCCCCTTTATAGAGTGGAAAGAGTGAAACGCCTGAGCCGCCTGACCGCTCCTAGGGAAACCGAACCGATACCGCCACTCCCTGGACCTCTCCCGGGGCGCGTTCTGGCCAGCGGATCGAAGCAAATCCAGCCGTGGCGACGAGGGCCGCCCAGGAGACCCACAAGTGGGAAGACGAGGGAACGGCAGCGATGTTTTCACCTCTCCCTCCTCCGAAGACAGACGTGCGCAGCGGCCAAGCGCCCGGAGGCGAGTAGGCAAGCGCGCCCGCAGGCGAGCAGACGTACGTAACACAGAGGCCGTGGCGGGCAGGCAGGGCTCGGCGGACGCCGCCCCGCCTTCCGCTCCGAGCCCCCAGGGGGGAAGGGGAGGAGGCGGAGGCGGAGGCGGAGGCGGAGGCGGAGGAGGACGAGGAAGAGTAGGAGGAGGAGGAGGAGGAGGAGGAGGAGGAGGAGGAGGAGGAGGGGGAGGAGGAGGAGTAGGAGGAGGAGGAGGAGGAGGACGACGACGAGGAGGAGGAGGAGGAGGGGGAGGAGGAGGAGAAGAGGACGAGGAGGAGGAGGAGGAGGAGGAGGAGGAGAAGAAGGAGGAGGACGAGGAAGAGTAGGAGGAGGAGGAGGAGGAGGAGGAGGAGGAGCACCCCGACCAGCGTGCGCAGCACGGGCTGCTGCGCCGGCGGCTGGTCCTGGCCCCACTTCAGCCTCGCCTGCGGCGCGGGAGGTGGCCAGTGCTGGCCCCAGCCCCTGCCGAGAACGGGGATGCCTCCTGGTGAGATCGAAGCTCGGGTGCGCCCACCAATCCAACCTCCCCATCCCCCCCCCATCCTGCCCGTCCCCCCCTCCCCACCCACCGGGGTTCCGTCCTCGTCGCCGCCATGAACCCTTCGTGGTCCCGAGTGGTTCTGGGCCGACGGCCGCCGCCGTGGGAGGCAGATGGTCGGGCCAACATGTCGGCGGCGACGATAGGGGCGAATAGCCCAGGGGCGGGCATTACACGTTTTCGCCTGGGAGCCATTTCGAAGCCATAGATCATCGGCGCACCTGAAAACATGTTTTGCTCTCCCCTGGGCTATTCGCCCCTATCTTCGCCTCTGAACATTGCACGGAGCACCGAGTCCGGCGCTGTCCAATGCAGAGACGCCTGCCAGCCTTTCTGGGCGCAGGTGGCTCAGGTCGATGGCTTGATCGCTGCTTCGCAGTTCGGTGGTTCATCGCTGCTTCGCAGTTCGGGGGCGCGCAAACATGGATTAGCGATCCATGGATTTGGCGCGCGGTCGCCACATCCATGGATCGGTGGAAGTGCCCTCCCCAAAATGCGGCTGGTGCCGCCTCGTTCGGCGGCGGACATCCGCGATTTCCCGTGAAAACGGGACCCGTCGCTAATCCACGCCCCCTCGATCCATGCTTAAGATCGCCTGAGTAGTGGCAAACACCCCCTCCCCATCTTTGCCGGCCGCCGACCAGTAGCCATGCGCTCCCCTCCCCACCTGGCGCACTCTGCGCGCGTCGCGCACCTGCAGCATCTGGCGCGAATGGTGCACGTGGCACTTCGCGCACATGGCGAATCGTGGCGGATCTGTACACCAGGCGAACCTGGCACACTGTGTCCCCGGGGGTCCCTGGTGCACGTGGTGCACCTGGCACACGCGGCGCACCTCAATGACAGAAAACACGAACACACATCAATGGCATACATGTAACAGACAGGAATGCCAGACGCCTAGAACACTGGGATCAGGGGCCTGCATAAAGAACTTCAGGGAGGGACTCAACTGACACCAATAACAGACAACGATAACATTAATGTTGACCCGACCTCAATTACGGACAGCAGCCACATGCGTTAATAATACGCCTCAAGAGCAGGCTTAAAGAACAAATCTGCATAATATCATGACAGGCATCACGCCGCCGCGTCGTCCACACACATCTAGAAAAAGGCATGACTCCTGGCATTGATCAAGGACATACATCTAAGGCGGGCGCCAAAACCAGACATGAAGATGTGGCATCACAAACAGCACCAGCATCACACCATAATAGCAGACACCGACGTCATAAACAAGTAGTGGCAGTGGCACAGTTCTAATGGTAGCGGTAGCCATGGAGGTACGAAGCAAATGAAGGCATCAGTGTGTTGTGGCCTTCTCGCCTGTTCGCTTCCGATGGGCTTCAGAGGCCTCATGATGACTCCGGGGTCGCCCAAGAGATCCTCGAAAGAGGCTAACTAAGGGTTCCACGGCGGCCCCACGAGCGCCCACGAGGGCACCAGGAACGTCCCAAGAGGGCTCCAAAAGGCGCCGGGTCGGGCTACGACAGAAGGACCATACAGACATACTTGATTGGACAGGACACGCGAAAGGACACAAGACTCTTCCGAGCTCCAAATTGCCATAGGAATGTAGGAGACATAGGTCGCGAGACACAAGATACAAGAGTACCCTTGATTTGGCAAGATCGACCTACTAATCAAAGCCGACTGTAACTAGTGCCGTGTTCTTGCTTGAGTGATGGCTTTCAGAAGACCTCCAAGAGAACACTCAAGGCTCCAAAACAGGCCCCAAGACACCCAAAGGTGGCTCCAAGAGGCCTCTACGATGCTCCCAAGGGTCTCTGAGCTCACCAATGTCGACCTCTCCGTGTCACTTCATGCTTGCTCTACTTCACCTCTAAGGGACACTAGCTTCAGCGACGCTCATCTCAGCCCCTGCGCTTAAGCCCGCTCCGTTTGGCGCGGCCACGCGCAGCAAACACTTCAGTCCGCAAATCCGACATCTGTTCTTCAACATTTCGGGCGTGACCCCACGTGTCCAGGATGCGGCATTACGTGTAAAGGTGTATTGGAAATTATGATCTGATGTCGTCGAGAGGTTTTCGGGGGTTGCTGCAATTCCGCCCAGTTCTTGCGAGTGCTCCCAGATAACTTCAACAAACAAGTGAGAGTTCTCAGGCGGTGTGGATGAAATGATGGCGCTTACATGACGTCGTTTAGCGTGGGGGGTGAAGCCTGGCCAAGAAGCCGAAGGAGGCAGAGATCTGGGGCTCGTCCAATCGACCACGACGTTCTGAAAATCGAACGGCGACAACACTACAACTCGAAACAGCTTCTGAGGTCCGAGCATCAGCAACATAAGAGGTCCGCCATCCAGTGGGCTGGGCTCAAACTAAGTGTAGTTATTGACACGAATGCGGCGCTGGACACCCTGATAACAGGAACAACACAGAAGCGCTGCACAACTAAACACGAGCCAAGGGCGGTGATGGTATGAAGCGAACGTATGCCTTAAGAGCTACGTCAGAGAGGAGAAAACGACAGCTTTACACATCGAGCGAGCCAGTCCCCCCACATCGAATCTACACGTTCAACTCCAGACTACCACGCAGCTACCTCATTCAGGGCCGCCGGGGGGGGGGCAGATCAAGCAAATGGAGCACGAGGATGAGCAGGAAGAGCAGGACGGAAACTAATAAGAAAAGAGTGCGAAAAAGAAAAGGCGGCAAAGAGGGCAGAACCACGGAGACAGAGAAACAGACAGGAAAAGAAGCTGCGAAGGAGAGAAGGATGATCATCGAAGCCTTTGGAGAAGGGAACAGGAAGGAGGGCAGAGAGGCACGAGAGGAGGGCAGAAGAGGCCCGCAACGCAGCCGAATCTCCGTCAGTGCCGCGGGCTGGGCCAGAAGTCCCGAGTACACCCCGGGGCACGCCCCAGCACCCCCCGACCAAGAGAGTGGCAGCTCCTGGACATCTGCCACCGTGCCCGCACAGTGGGCGTGGTAGCGCACGGTGGATGTTTGCTTAGACACTCCCTGCCCATGGAAGCGGTGCCGCTGGGGTACTCGAGATGTTCCACGGCGCTCGGCTGCTGTCGCGTCGGCGCCACCTTTCCAGCCCATGCACCTATGATGGCGTGCACGGCTTATTCGTCTTATCATCAGTCGTATCGTCGTTATTATTCTAAGTATTATGAGTACTAGTATTGTTGACAGACATAACCTTGATACTATGAATATGAATATTCTTATTATTACGAACACTATCATTAGCAATAGCATTACTATTGTTAGTATTAGTGTTATCACCTTGAATGGCGAGAACTCCTGAGTGCTTTCTAGGGCCAACACTCACTCTCCCTCTGCGTTGCACGCGTCGTTAGAACAACTCCCCTCTCTGGAACAGATGTTGAGCCATTTCCCAGATCTCATAACATACAAGATCCGCCGACCCCCGCTTACCGGGGGTGCGAAGGCGTATGAGATGACTGGTTGTCCCCAATCCCCCTTTCCCCCTCCCCTGGGATCCGAACTTCGATCAGAGGGGGTGTGGGGCCAGAGGGGTGTCCCTGGGCTCCTCTCTTTTTTCGTCGCTCACTAGAATGAGTCGCTGGTCGTGGCCAAGTGGGAAACTCTGCCCGCGCGCAGGCTCGCGCGGCTCGCCTGCTCACTCCGTGAGAGCGCGGCTTCGTAGAATGCCGGGTCGCCCTCTCCATCCCTCGCCCAAGAGGGCGCGCTTGCTCATATGCTGAAGAGGGTCCCCCTGGTCACGCGAAGGTGGCCATTGCAGCTGACGACTTGGAGAAAGGGCCCTGGTCGTTCGTTTGCAATTCCAACAAGGACGTACGCTTGGCACACACCGCCAGGGGAGTCATTGCGTATGTGTGGTCGTCTTCTCCCAGCAGACCTCCGACGGGAAAACCTGCTCGCCCCAAATGCTTCACGTACACGTTAAGATACAGACGGCCCTTGTCTGTACGCCCATGGACGACCTTCAACTCAACCTTGCCAAACGCAACCCATGGCGGAGTCTCCTCAACCTTCTGCGACGCGGTGTAATGGTACCCTCCAGCTTGTTTGGCCTCTGCCCAAGACCCTGTAACGTTCAATTCCTGGAAGTACATATCCGCACACTGTCCACCCAATCGGCGCGCATCGGCCTCTACGTGAAACAATGCGTCTTCAACGCTCCTTCCACGAGGGATATGTATCAAAACATGCTTGCCGGGCTTCATCAAATCGAATCGCTCGCCATGAACATTCTGCAGGTGGGGATCGCCAGTGGCAGCCACACCGCCGGCTCCGCCCGCCATGGGAGCTCCAGGAGAGAGCGTCGGCTGCGGAGTCGGCCAGCCTGGAGGATACGTCGGGCTGGGCGTTGGGCTGGGCGTGGGAAACGGAGTCGGGAAGGCCGTTGGGTAGGGCGTCGGGAAGGCCGTCGAATAAGACGTCGGGAAGGCCGTCGGATAGGGCGTCGGGTAGGGCGTCGGAAAGGCCGTTGGGTAGGGCGTCGGGAAAGCCGTCGGATAAGACGTCGGGAAGGCCGTCGGATAGGGCGTCGGGTAGGGCGTCGGGAAGGCCGTTGGGTAGGGCGTCGGGAAAGCCGTCGGATAAGACGTCGGGAAGGCCGTCGGATAGGGCGTCGGGTAGGGCGTCGGGAAGGCCGTTGGGTAGGGCGTCGGGAAAGCCGTCGGATAAGACGTCGGGAAGGCCGTCGGATAGGGCGTCGGGTAGGGCGTCGGGCGTCGGGTTGGGCGTCGGGTTGGGCGTCGGGTTGGGCGTCGGGTAAGGCGTCGGGTTGGGCGTCGGGCTGGGCGTCGGGTGGGGCGTTGGGTAGGGCGTCGGGGCAGGCGTCGGGTTGGGCGTCGGGTTCGGCGTGGGGTAGGGTGTCGGGTAGGGCGTCCGGTAGGGCGTCGGGTAGGGCGTCGGGTAGGGCGTCGGGTAGGGCGTCGGACACGGTGTCGGATAGGGCGTCGGGGACGGCGTCGTCGCACAAATAGAAGTCGAGTATATGGCAACGTCTGCGTTTCGCGCCGTGTACACGCTGCCTGTCCACGTTGGACACGAATTGCCGCATCCCGCCTGGCCAACGCCCGCATAGGAAGCGCGCCACATACTGCTGGAAAGGGTACCCCCATTGGGCGCCGGCATGCCCATGGACACCAAGATATTATTCAATTGCGTTCCGATGTTCCCTGAATTCCCATACCAGAATTCGAACGGCTCGTCGTTTGTAGCGATCGCAACTATCGTGCCAGCAGCAATGCCATTAAGGTGATTTTTGAGCGAGGTCAAATCTGTCCAACTGAAGAAATTATGCCCTGCACGAGTGGACACAAGGATGCCGCGATAGCCCGATGCGTGGCTGTAAAGAGCGTCCCCGTTGCCTATGCCCGTGATGATCGCACACCCGCATCTACAGGACGCTCCCCTGCTAGGCTGATCACAGCCTTCCGCCCTCGCCGTGACAAACAGGCACTGCAAGTACACGTGAGTCACGCAACTGCTACCTCCGTCGGCACAAGTGCTGTAAAGTGATGGCGTGGAAATGATCGACGTCTCTGAATGTAACCAACAATAATAGTTGCCATCTTCTACGGAGAAGAACATGTAGCCCCCTGCTTCCGCGAGAGACGCGCAAGAGGCTGAGCTATGCGGTCTGCCGATGCTGGCGCTCGTTGACCACACACGCGGGCGGACGTGTAAGTGGACGACAAGTTTGCGCTCGAAGACACTGAAGCCTCCGATGCTGACTCCATCTCTGCCTCCATGCGCGACATGCACATCAATGGCGCCCACGGTGGTCAATGATACCACTGGCCACATGAATGTGAACGCTGCCCGGGCCTTCATCTCGCACGAGAGGAGACCGCACGCGTAAAGTATCAGGGTAAGGTCGAGTATGGGATGTGACTGGCCTGCGCGAGCCAATGTGTTAGACTTGAGCCGAAATGGCTACGGAGGGGGTGTCCCTGGGCTCCTGAACGCTTCCCAGGGCCTCCGGAGCCTCCATTTCTACACTCCACGGCCTCCAAGATGCTCCACGACTCCATCTAAGCTTGTTCAAGCTTGGCTCCAACACGCCAAGGAGGCCTCAAAGACAATCAAGACAGCGTCAAGACAGCCCAAGACGCCTCAACGACGCCCCATGAAGCTCCAACGCGACCCCCAAGAGGGCCCCCAAGAAGCCAAACTCGCTTCAATTCCTGATCATCTCCACCCTTTTGGTTTCAACAGCGTCCAAAGCGGCCCAGCAGGCCCCCTAAGATCGCTCCATGAGACCCAAAGTCCCCTAGAGGGCCCTAACATAGCCCAAGAGAGCCCCAAAACAGCCGAGAAGGCGCCCAAGACGGCCAACGAGGGCCAAAAAGACCCTCAAGTGGGGCCTAAGAGAGTGAACTCGAACTGACATTTCGAGCCCTCTGCACCTGAAGTACCCCCGAGACCGCCAGCAGGCGCTCAACAAACCCTCACAAATAGGCAAAACAAATCCCCAAACAGGCCCTTCAAATGCTTCCCAAGAGGCAAAAAGCCTCATCCGTGAACTACGTTTCTCCTCTGGGGGTCGGCGGAATGGCGCAAGCCACTTGAATATCATGGCGAAGGACCGAACCATATGCCATTTCAAAGACTGCAGTTGTTAATGTCGCCTTCAGTGGAGCTCCTTGTGGGGCCACGAAACGTGTGAGGGGAGCATGCGGGCCCTGCCAGTGGGGTCTCCGGTGGAATCCCCAAAGGGGCCACGAAACGTGTGAGGGGTGCGCCGAAATGGGCGCTGCCATTGGGGCATTCGGTGGAGCTCCCTATGAAGCCACGAAGCGTGTGAGGGGTGTGCCGAGATGGGCCCGGGAACGCATGCGAGCTGTGCCACTGGGCCTTAAGTTGGAGCTGCCTATTGGGCCACGAAGCGTCTGAGGGGTGTGCCGAAATGGACTGGGGGGACCGCATGTGGTTTCCCCCTCTCTTGGGGCCCCCGTTGGAGCTCCCTGTGGGGCCACGACACGCGCAGGGGTGGGAGGAAGGAGGGAGTGGGGGATCAGGTGACGCGAGGGCTGTCTCCTACAAACGAGTGCCCAACACCACAGGATGGTTAAGGGCAAGGAGGAGCCGAAAGCCTGCCCCCTTCCGAAGGGGGGAGCAGGCCATGCTCTCCCCCCCCGAGGGGATTAAGGACAGCCCCCCCCGAGGGAGGGGCGCCCACGAGGCCCCAGGAGGCTCCGAGGCTCCAAGAGGCTCTGTAGACCGCCGAAGAGGCCCCCGAGACTTCCGAAGAGGTCCCTCAGATGCCCTCGAGGCGACCCAAGAGGCCCCCGAGAGCCGCCAGGAGGCCCCCACGAAGTCCCAAGAGGCATCAGAGAGACTCCGAGAGACATCCCAAGAGACTCCGAGAGGCATCCAAGGAGCCTCCGGCCCATGGAGGCTCCCCGAGGTCTCTCAAGTAAGCCAAGCTCCCCCGATGAGGGCAGCTCCCCTGGGCCTCGGTCCTGGATGAGCTGGTGGGGATGCGCGAAGCGTCAAGAATTCAAATTCACTCCTGCCACGCTGCTGCACAGGCACGGTGGCGGGAATTGCCAAACGCAGCTGGATTGTTTCTACCGCCAGAAGGGCTGCCCCTCCGATGATGATAACGAGGAACAATACGGAGATGCTGCCCCTCCGAGCGTCTAGGTCCACGGCCCCGACGCACGGAGATGCCAACCGTACACCTCACGCAGACCCTACGTGGGCCTGCGCTAGCATCCGTGGCGGTGTGCAACTGAAGCTCCCAGTCCTGTCTCTGATGCCATTCCCTGCGGCCAGGTTCGTGCCGTGGCGACTTCGGCTGTGGTTCCTGACACCGCGTGGATCCTCCAGCACTGAAAGATTGGCGGCACGTCGCTCGCCAGATCGTTCAATGTTGGCCGATTCTGGGCCACTGGCGGCGTTCTGCCTTGAGCGCCCGCACTGGGGTCGCCGCCACGTCCACACGACGCGAGCCTGCCCTAGCCGACTCCCCTTTCATGGGGCAGCCTTCTTAGCCCGTCACGTCCAAAACCCCTGCGTGGGTGCCTCTTCCCGTCCCTGATGTATCACCCCAGGTGTTAAAGGGTTGACCGCCTCATCCTACCCCTGGTGTCGGCTCAGAGCGGGTAGCATGCGCACGCACGCACTCTCGAGCGTGCGCTTCGGGAACACACGCCGCTGTGGCCGCCGATGACGCCCTTCTACACCCACGGGCACCAGCACAACGAGCTGAGCAGCAGCATCAGCATCACGAGCAGCAGGAGCTGCAGCGGCAGCATGGGCGGCAGCGGTCGCGGCCGCGGCGGCGGTCAGCAGAAACGAGCGCAGGTGCAGCAGCTCGGGAGCGTCCCTGGCCTTTCGCTCTGCGGATAGGGGCCCTTGGGAGGGGCCCCTGAGGGCCCCACGAGGGAGCGCTCTGAACGCTACCTCGGCTTCCCTGGAGAAGCTGGGGCAGCCCATGGGCCGGGGCCACCTCTGTCAGGCCAGGGAAGGTTGAAAACTCGACATCAGTCCATCCCCAACCCTCCTAGGGCTCAAACGCACCAAGTTTCCGAGCTGCGTCCAGCCGTGGCGACGAGGGGGCCGTCCGAAGGTCAACTACCGTTGTCTCACCTCGCCCTCCTCAGACTCTGAGAACGCCCGAGCTAGAAAGACCCCCTGGCTCGCCAGCTTACCGCCAGTGACGAAGCCCTCACCGCGGCGGCCGCCGTAGCCCACCAGGCAGCTGGTGGAGAGCAACTCGTGGCCGGCTTGCAGGTGCGCCCCTCGCAGGGCGCCTCGTTCCTCCTCCCCCTCCTCCTCCACCTTCTCCTCCTCCTACTCCTCCTCCTCCGCCTCCTCCTCCTCCTCCTCCTCCTCTCTTCTCCCCCTCCTGGCGGCACGTACCATGCGGTTGCGCGAGGAGGGGTGGCCTTTTTAAGCAGGCGGGGGGGCATATCTTGGGAACTTCTCTGAGAGGCCCGGAATATTATAGGAAGGCGTTGATAAGCACGCTTCGAACTCTACCCCCACCAACCATCGATTCTCCTGAATCGATTGGAGGCGGGGGTGAGGGTTCGACGAACTCCGAGCCCTACCCCCACCGACTATCGATCGGGTTGCCTGGATCGTGGCTCGTCGAGGATCGGGTTCGGATTTCGCCGCAGAGCAGGAGGGGGTCCAGGAAGCCGCCCGCCCTCTCAGAATCGCCCCGCCTTCACAAAGGGCCGCCCACCCCCTCGGGCTGCGTTTTTTTACGCACGCCGCCAACCTGATCCATATGCATCCCGTCCAGTGTGAACACCCAGGGGGGCCCGGCCCTGCCTCAACGTCGCCTTGTGGCCCAACTGGCCCCCTGTCTGTACCATTCGGATGCAAGCGCCGAATTATCAACCACGCAGGGGTAACGAACATGAAATCGTTCGGTTGGACCAAGAAGGTGCAGTCCTGTTTGACCACCCTGTCTACGCCGCCCTGAACTCCTTCGTCTTTCTCATCATCCCTCCTCCTCCCTCCCCCTATCCCTCCCTCCTCCTCCCTCCGCCTCCTCCTTCGAGGCGTGGTTCTGGCAGCTGGCATACTATGGTCATGAACTACCCCGGCGCTGCCCCCGCGGAGGCCGCATCGCAGGCGTCATCTTGCATGCTGAATCTTCATCGCGTGCCTAATCCGTCGTGGTACCGTCCAAAGGAATATTAGCACGGGCATCAGCTGAGGCTGAGGCTCGTCTGTCGCTGCGGATCTACAAGGCAAGAGTGGTGTCGAAGACCCATCATGCCTCCCCGCGTGTGGCGGCGCCGCTATAGCCCCACCTCCAAGCCGCTCGCCTTTCCTGGGACTGTCTTCCCAACACCTTGCCCCAGGGTTGGCCCAGTTGCCTATACATCCTGCCTGCATTGAGGACTCATGCGTTTCGGCCGTGCTAGACAGGCTGTGTAGCTGTAACTTCAAGGGGCCAGGGCTACCCGACAGGTCTCCGCCCTCTTCCCGTCTGCGGTCAATCGGCTATTCCTGATGGGACATCTCTCTTCTGTCCGGCACTTACCTGTCGGCCTTGTCCGGGGCGTCCAACGCTCTTCAGAGGCTACTCGTCCTTGAGCCTGAGGCACAGTACACACGTCGCGCGCAGATGGTCACACTTCGCTCCACCTGAGGCATGCATGCGCGAATACTGGAATCCAGCCAAAAATCCTCCTCCTTCGTCCTCCTCCCTCACCTAGGGTAAGAACGCGCCACACAAACTGTCGGGGGTCCGCGCGGATGTCTTGGATCAGCGCTGAAGCCCCCCCCTCCCCTAGCGCGCGGAGCGCGCCAGGGGCAGCGCCAGAGGGCGCCGCCGGTGGTGTCCAGCGCAGATCCAGAAAATCCGAGCGAACCTCCGAAGAGTGCCATGCCTGTGCAATTTGGTTGTCCTTCGACCGTCGCCCCCCGCCTCCCCTTGAGCATCGTTTAACCAATCCTTATCCCCACTGGCACAGCCTTGGCCCCAAGGGCCGACTTACCCACCCAGGCGGGAATTGTCGCGGGGCGCCTGGGAGGGTAGGCTGGTGGGGCTGAGGTACCGTAGGTTCAACGATGCGGATTCCTCATTGGTAAGGCTTCGGGCTGCGCACAGACAGCACTCTCAGGTAGTCCTCGCTGGCTTCAACCCCCGGAGTAGTCCCAGCTGGCCTGAGCAGGCCCCCCAACTAGTCTAAGCAATCTCAACACCCTGGCGCCGCCTCCAGCGGCGCCCCTTGGGCGCAGTTGAAACCAGATGGAGCCTGGGCACGCGCGTGACCGGGGAGGGGGGGGGGGGTCGTCGCCCAGACGGCGCCCCTTGGGCGCAGTTCGTTTATTCGGGCCGGTCACGCGCGTGACCGGGGAGGGGGGGTGTTCGTCGCGCCGGTCACACCACGGCGGGGGCGTGCCTGTGGTGCCGCAACATGCCCGTTAGCACCCGACAATCACGACGTGCCTGTGACCAGCGCCACAACAGCTTGCGATCCGATCAACGCGCCGTGCCTGTGAACACCACATTGCTTTTGAAGTGAACAGCGTCCAACAACACAACAGCGCCTGTGAACATCAAAGCGGCTGTGAACACAGCGCCTGCGAACACCACAGAACCTGTAAATACCACATCGCCTGTGAACACTACACAGCCGGAAAACACCACAGCGCTTGTGAACACCACAGCGCTTGTGAACACATCGCGCGCGAGCACAGCAGAGCCTGGGGTCCAGCGGCAGTGCGCAAGCACTAGCAGCAGCAGTAGCAGTAGCAATAGTCGTAGTAGAAATAGTAGTAGCAGCAGCAGTAGAAGTAGTAGCAGCAGTAGTAGAAGCAGTGGTAGTGGTAGTGGTAGTGGTAGTGGTAGTGGTAGTGGTAGTGGTAGTGGTAGTGGTAGTCGTAGTCGTAGTGGTAGTGGTAGTGGTAGTGGTAGTGGTAGTGGTAGTGGTGGTGGTAGTAGTAGGAGTAGTAGTACGACCACGTCTACTACTACTACTACTACTACTACTACTACTACTACTACTACTACTACTACTACTACTACTACTGCTACTACCGCTACTACTACTAGAACTACTACTACTACTACTACTACTACTACTACTACTACTACTAGTACTACTACTACTACTACTACTACGACTACGACTACGACTACGACTACGACTACGACTACGACTACGACTACGACTACGACTACGACTACTACGACTACGACTACGACTACGACTACGACTACTACTACTACTACTACTACTACTACTACTACTACTACTACTACTACTACTGACTACTACTACTACTACTACTACTACTACTACTACTACTACTACTACTACTACTACTACTACTACTACTACTACTTACTACTACTACGACTACGACTACGACTACGACTACGACTAGGACTACTACTATTACCACTACCACTACTACTACTACTACTACTACTACTACTACTACTACTACTACTACTACTACTACTACTACTACTACTACTACTACTACTACTACTACTACTCTACTACTACTACTACTACTACTACTACTACTACTACTACTACTACTACTACTACTACTACTACTACTACTACTACTACTACTACTACTACTACTACTACTACTACTACTACTACTACTACTACTACTACTACTACTACTACTACTACTACTACTACTACTACTACTACTACTACTACTACTACTACTACTACTACTACTACTACTACTACTACTACTACTACTACCACTACTACTACTACTACTACCACTACTACTACTACTACTACTACTACTACTACTACTACTACTACTACTACTACTACCACTACTACTACTATTACTACTACTACTACTACTACTACTACTACTACTACTACTACTACTACTACTACTACTACTACTACTACTAATAATAGGCCCAATTCAGGGGTGAGCTCGCTGGCTCAGCCTTCTCGGCCCAAAAACACACCTTCCCTCGATCCGCCCTCGACTGAGCATCGTGTAATCGATCCCTGTCCCCACTGGCGTGGCCTGGGCCCCCCCTGGCCGATTGACCCCCCTAGATGGAGATGTAGGCCATTCACGTCGGGCTTCGAGGGGCATATTCCAAAACGGGGTGGTGGGATGATGGGGATCGGGAGGGGGATGGGGATGGGGGTAGAGATCGGCTAAACGATACTGGATTCTGAAGGGTCGACCTACGAGTCAAGCTCGACTGCATGGATCAAGCGCCGATCGTCGACACAAGGTCCCTCGCGCCGAAGGGACCAAAAACAATCCTCGCTCCTCCCTCGGCTCCCCATCGCCCCCACCTGCCCGCCAGGCTTCCGCCTCCTCCCCCCTCCCCCCTCCCCCCCAGGCTCCCGCGCCTCCCTCGACTCCCCCTCCTCCCCCCTCCCCCCCTCAGGGGTTCCCTCCTCGACGCCCCCCTCCCCCCCCCAGGGGTTCCCTCCTCGACGCCCCCCTCACAAACGATCCTGACGCCCACCTCCCCCCTCGACCCACCCGGGCATCGCCACGGCCGCTCGGCCCCGAGCCTCGGCCGACGGAGCAGTAGGGACGGGCCCGCGCTCCACGGCCGACCCGCGTCCGGTCCAGCAGCAGCACGCCGTCGCCGATGGACGAGCAGGTGATCTCGGGGCGGGGGGAGAGGGCGGAGGAGGGCAGGGGAGGAAGGGGGGGAGGGGCGGGGGAGGGCGGAGGGGGGGGAGAGGGGCGGGGGAGGCGGAGGAAGGCGGGGAGGGGGGGGGGGGGCGGGGGAGGGCGGGGAGGGAGGGGGGGAAGGGGGGGAGG